TTTGAACATATTCTATTTTAAATACATGAGGTAGATTCATTATTTAAAGGCAGCTAATAATAATTACTTTGTAAAGAATCTTTCTTTCATAGTAGTAATAGTAATCGTGGTGGTGGTGGTGGTGGTGGTGATGGTTGCAGTAGAAGTAATAAATCATCTGAAATTTCATATGTATCAAGTAATAGAAATATAAAACTTTTATTGTCCATCACCAAAGCTTAAGAGCTTAACTATTGTGCTATGTATGATTAAAGTCCATTTGAAAAAAATAGCAATTATTAACAGCATCATCCTTGTTGTAGGAGGTAAACTGGCCAATCTGCAAATGAAAATGTCCTGAATTTTTCTTCCTTCCTTCCTTCTTAAAGTCTAGTGTTTTTTCTGCAATCATTTGTTGAACATTATATACAAGTCAATATGTTGGGAATGGGGATTAGTGGTGAATTGACATTTTCATTGCACTTCTACATGTTCTTCCAAATATTTGTAATACGGGCATATCTATTTTAAAAAAATCCATTCTGCTACATAGTCCTTGGCATCAGTACTATAGCTAGCTCCATATCTCTGTAACATAATATATTGGATATCATTATAGGTTGAATTAATTAAATATGAATGGACTAATCTCACCCAATTGAGAAATATCACCTTATTTTTGCTTAACCATGTTAATGCTTTCCTATGACTCTTCAAATCCCTAAACTAGGATAACTTAAGTCACTTCTAACACATTTTAAAATGCCTTATTCATGTGAATGTCCAAAGAAAAATTCTCACAATAACTTTGTTATGAGTGATAGAAAGGAGAAAGGTGACTTCTGAATTATTCATCACTTCATTTCGGCTTCTAGAAATAATATATTATTATATACTGTTTGACGTAAAATTTATTATTGTTAATATTAATCCACTTATTCGTAGAATTGTGCTTAGCAGCATATTGTTTGTTAATGTTAAAGAATATATTAATTAGGGCCATGGTTTTAAAAGAGCCGTTTTTCAAGTGGAAATGTTACCTTTAACTCCAATTTATGTAGAACAAGCAAATCTTTAGGCTTGACTAATAAGGTTACCTGGCCACATGTAAATCTAGCTGCTATGTGATTTATGAGAAATAATGATTGTATGTTTATTTGTCCATTAAACTTATAGTAAGAGATTTAGTTTTATAAACTGACAGCTTTTAATATGTATCACACAATGGTAATTAGTTAAAACATTAACTGGATTTTAATATACATTGATTAGGATAAGAGGATTTTTCAATAGCTTCATTTCTCATGTTTTAAAACTTAAATGCAAGACAGGAAATAACAAGTGTTGGAGAGGATGTGGAGAGAAGGGAACTCTTATATACTGCTGGTGGAGTGCAAATTGGTGCAGCCACTATGGAAAACAGTATGGAGATTCCTCAAAAAATTAAGTATAGACGTGCCACATGATCCAGCTTTTCCACTGCTGGGTATTTATCCAAAGAACATGGAAACACAAATGTGAAAGATACATGCACCCCTATGTTCCTTGTAGCATTATGCACAATAGCCAAGATTTGGAAGCAACCTAGGTGCCCAACAAGGGATGAATGGATAAAGAAGATGTGGTATATATAAGCAATGGAATACTACTCAGCCATAAAAAATGATGAAATCTTGCCATTTGTGACAACATGGAGGAACCTTGAGGGTATTATGCTAAGCAAAATAAGTCAGAGGGAGAAAGTCATATACCATATGATCTCACTCATAAACAGAAGGTAAAAACAACAACAAACAATCACGTAGAGACAGAGATTGGATTGGTGGTTACCAGAGGGGAAGAGGGGATGGAGGAGGGCAAAAAGAGTGATTAGACACATGTGTATGGTGATGGATTGTAATTAGTCTTTGGGTAGTGAACATGATGTAAGCTACACAGAAATTGAAATATAATGATGCACACCTGAAATTTATATAATGTTATGAACCGGTGTTACCACAATAAAATAAATAAATAAATAAATTGGAGTATAAATAAAAAATAAAAAAATAAAACTTAAATGCAATATTTATATGTAAATATATTATACACGTGTACACATATAATACTGGAAAAAGCCACGTTCTTCTCATTTCTAACTGATTTTATAGAATATGTTACAACATGAAGAATACACCATTTTAAGCTAAATCATGTTTATTAAGACATAATAGAAAGCAACAATCAGCATTTTCAGAAGTGTTATCTATATATACTTTACACATTCAATGCAACAACATAAGCTATTATAGCATAATTTTTAGACCACAAATGAAGAATAATAATTCCTCAAGAGAGTGTTCCTTTTTGTAGCTATAGTCCACTAATAGTTTGCAGGTGCTAAATTATACACCCCAATTATCTTATCACAGTTTGCCACCTGTAGGTTCACTAAGCTGTATGTATCCTCAAAAGTAAGCATGTGGCTTCACTGTACATGGTTGGTTTATTTTGGAGGATTTGATACACTCCTGCACCTGCAAATAATTATGAGTCAAACACTAAATGTATAAGAATGAAGGCTATCCTTGAAAATGTTAACAACTCCTCTAAAAATATAACGTTTGGAGAGCATATAAAAGTAGCCCAAGACCTGTTCATTAAACCTTAAATGGGTGACTACCTGGTAAAATAAATGATTTAAATTGGAATGAGATTCTCCTAACATAATAACCAAAATATCCAGGATATAATTTAAAATACTCATCACACCAAGAATCAGAAAAATCACAACTTGAATGAGAAAAACAATCAACTGACACCAACACCAAAATGAATCAGATGTTGACATTATCTGATAAGGATTTTAAAGCATCTATTATAAAATTACAAATTCTGTTGAAATAAATGAAAAAAATAGAAAAGCTCAGAAAAGAAAAGGAAGTTATTAAAAATAATTCAATGAAAATTATGGAACTTAAAAATACAAAAACTGGAATAAGAAACTTATTGGATGGGCTCCATAGTAAAATAGAAATGACAAGTGGATAGAATCAGTGAACTGATGACAGATTAGAAGGATTTTTCCAATCTGAAAAAGTGAAAAAAATAGATTAAAAAAAATGAACAGAGCCTCAGGAACCTGTGGGACAATAATAAAAAATTCAGCATTCCTATCATCAGAGCTCCAGAAGGGGAGGAGAAAGAGAGTAAGGCTGAAAGAGTAATTGAAGAAATGATGTCTGGAAACTTTCCAGATTTGGCAAAAGGCATACACCTACACATATAAGAAATTACCCCAAAGAAATGGGAGTTTTGGATGTTTCATCTTTAGGATGAACCCAAAGAAATTCAAGTGAAGACATATCATAATTACATTTCTGAATACTAAAGACAAAGAAAATATCTATAAAACAGCCAGAAAGAAATGATACATTACCTATAGGTGAACATAAATTTGATTAAGAGCAGATTTCTTATATGAAACCATGGAGGTCAAAAGAAAGTGGTGTAACATTTTTCAGTAGCAGAAAGAAAACTGTCAAGCATAAATTCCACATTTAGTGAAACTGAATGAAAAAATGAAAAAGAAATAAAGATATTCTCAGATGAAAGAAAAGTAAAGGAACTTTTCACTAAAAGTGTGGCTAACGGAAGATCTTCAAACAGAGAGGAAATGATTAAAAAAAGAGGAAACTTAGAGCATCAAAAAGGAAGGAAAAACAATGGAAAGTACACAAATGTGAGTACATACACAAACTATCCCTCACCTCATAAGTTTTAGAAATAATGTTCGATGATTGCAAAAAATAATTATAACATCTGATACTCAAGGCAATGCTATTTAAAAGTGAGGAAAGTGGAGAGACCTAATGACCTAAATGAAGGTAAAGTGTCCACACTTTACCCAGAGCAACTACTAGGAAAACCACGCAATGAGATAAACTCAAAAAGTAACATGGCAGACTTAAGTTCTAATATATTAATAATTACCTTAAATGTAAGTAGCCTAAATATGCCAACTAAAAGGAAGAGATTGGCAGAGTGGATGAAAGAAAGAATGATCCAGTTATATGGTGTTTACAAGAAACTTACTTCAAATTCAATAGCATAGATTGAAAGTAAAAGGATAGGAAAGATACACCATGAAAATATTAACTTAAACAAACAGGAGTGGCTGTATTAATATCAGATAAAGTAGAGCAAAGAAAATTTACTAGAGATGAAGAAGAAAATTACATGATGATTAAAGGATCAATCTACCAGAAAGTCTTATGTGAACCACCAAAATAACAGATCCTTAAAATACATGAAGCAAAAACTGATAGAAATGAAAGGACAAATAGATAAATCCACAATTATTGCTGGGAAATTCAACACACTCCTCTCAGAAACTAATAGAACTACTAAATAGAAAATAAGAAAGTCTATATAATATCTGAACACCACAATCAACCATCAAGATCTGATTCTTATATAGAACATTGTATTCGACAAACAGAATATACATTTTTTTTTTGTGGGGGAAGACTCACCCTAAGCTAACATCTGCCAATCTTCCTCCTTTTTCCTTCCCTTTTCCCCCCAAAGCTCCAGTACATAGTTGTGTATACTTGTAAGTTCTTCTGGTTCTTCTATGTGAGCCACTGCCACAGCATGGCTGCTGACAGACGAGTGGTGTAGTTCTGTGGCCAGGAACCAAACCCGGGCCGCTGAAGCAGAGCACGCTGAACTTTAACCACTAGGCCATCAGGGCTGGCTCAGAATATACATTTTTTGCAAGTGCCTACAATGCATATTCTAAGACAGACCATATCCTGGGAAATAAGACAAACTTTAATACATTTAAAGAATTGAAATCATACAGAGTATGTTCTCTTACCATAATGGAATCAAATTAGAAATCAATAACAGAAAGAAACAGCAAAATCTCTAAACAAACACTTGGAAATTAAATAACACACTTCTAAATAAAATATGGGCCAAAGAAGTCTCAAAAAACTAAAGGTATACTTATAACTGAATGAAATGAAAATACAACATATCAATATATGTGGGATGCAGCTAAAGAAGTCCTCAGAGGGAAATATACAGTATTAAGTGCTTATACTAGAAAGTAGTAAACATGTCTAATCAATAATCTAAGTTCCTACCTTAAAATAAACCTGAAGTAAGCAGAAGGAAGGAAGGAATAAAGATAGCACAAATCAATGAAATTGAAAATAAGAAGACAGGGAAAATCAATGACACAAAGATCTAGTTCTTAAAAAAATAAATGAAATTGATAAACTTATACCAAAACTTATGAAGATAAAGAAAGAAGAAATAAATCACCAATACCAGGAATGAAACAGGAAATATCACTACAGATACTACACTACACTAGAGATCCAACAGAACACTACAATAATTAAAATGATCAAAATGAACACCATGAACAACTTTAAACTCATAAACTTGACAACTTAGAAGAAATGGATCAATTCCTCAAATACCACAAACCTCTAAAACTCACAAGATGAAACAGATTATCTGAATGGTCCCATAAATATTAAAAATTTGAATTCATAATAAAACTTCAAAAAAGAAATATTCAGGACCAAATTATTTCACCAGGAAATTCTATCAAACATTTAAAAAAGAATTAAAGTCAATTTTACACAATCTCTTCCAGAAAATAGGAGGGAACACTTCCCAACTAATTTTATGAAAACAGTATTGTCCTGATACCTAAACTAGAAAAAGACAGAACAGAAATTAAAAACTACAGACAAATATTCTTCACGAACTTAGACATAAACATCCTCGACAAAATGGTAGAAAATAGAGTTCAGCAACATATAAAAAGAAGTATACACCATAACTAAGTGCAGTCTATTCCAAGGTTGCACGACTGTTTTGACATTTGAAAAGCACTCAGTGTAATCTACCAATATCAACAGCTTAAAAAAGAAAAATCATATAGTCATATCAATTGATACAGAAAAAAAACACTTGACAGTATTCAATACCCGTTCATAATAAAAACTTTCAGAAAACTAGGAAAGATCAAAAGATAAGGATAAACTGTTCCTAAATGCAGATGACATGATTGTCTACATAGAAAATCCCAAGGAATCTACAAAAAGAAAAAACCCTCATAGAATAAAAAGTGAGTTCTTCTAGGGTGCAGAATAAACAATCAAATGCAATGAATTGCATTTTCATATAGTAACAATAAACAGGTGGAAACAAATTATAAACATAATACCGTTTATAATCACTCCAAAGAAAATTAAATGTTTAGGTATATACTTAACAAAACATGTACAGAATGTGTAATATTAAAATTAAAAATTGGTGATGAAAGATATCAGAGAAGACTTAAAAACTTCAGAGACATATTATGTTCATGGATTGGAAGACTCAACTATGTCAGTTTTCTCCAAATTGATCTGCAATTTCTATTAAAATTCTGCAAAGTTTTGTAGACATAAACAAGCTTATTCTAAAATGTATATGGAAAGGTATGGGCCTAGAATAGCTAAGAACATTCTTGGTAAAAAGAATAAAGTTGGAGGAATCACTTTACCCAATGTTAAAGGTTACTATATGGCTGCAGTAATTAAGATAGTGTGGTATTGGCAGAGTAGATACACATAGTCAATGGAACAGAATAGAAAACACGGATCGACATAAATATTCCCAACTGATTTTTGACAAAGGTGCAAAGGCAATTCAACAGAGAAAGGACAGCCTTTATTACAAATGCTGCTGGAGCAATTAGCTATCCATAGGCAAAATAATGAAATTGGACCTAAATCTTATATCTTATACAATAATTATCTCAAAATGGATCACAGATTTAAATGTAAAATTTAAACTATAAAACTTAGAACCAAAAATGGGGAAAATCTTTGGGATTTCGGGGTAGGCAAAGAGTTCTTAGAATTGACACTAAAAGCACAATTCATAAATGGAAAAATTGATAAATTGAATCTCATCAAAACTGTAATTTTTTGCTCTGTAAAAGACCTTGTTAAGGGGAGCAAAAAGACAAGCTACAAACTGGGAGAAAATGTTTTAAAATCACATATCTGACAAAGGAAGAATTCTGAAATGTCAACAGTAAAAACATCAAACAATCCAATAAGAAAATGGGCAAAAGACATAAAGAGACATTTCACCAAAGAGGATCTAGAGATGGTAGGTAAGCACATGAAAAAAGGTTCAACATCATTAGCCACCAGGAAATACTAATTAAAACCACCATGTGATATTTGTACACATCCATCAGAATGGCTAAAATAAAAAAAGGATGACAACCTCAAATGCTGGTGAGAATGTGGAGAAACTGGATTGCTCGTACATTGTTGGTGGGAATATAAAATGGTGCAGTCACTCCGGAAAACATTTTAGCATTGTCTTATAAAACTAAACTGTTAATTACCATATGACCCAGCATTTGCATTCTTGGGCATTTATCCCAGAAGAATGAAAACTTATGTTCACACAAAAACACAAAACTTGTACATGAATGTTCATAGCAAATTTATTTGTAACAACTGAAAACTGGAAATGACCCAGATGTCCTTCAAAAGTTTAATAGTTTAAAAAATGTGGTACTTCCATAGCATGGAATGCTACTCAGAAATAAAAAGGATTACTATTGATACATACAACAATTTGGATGAAATCATCAGGGAATTATACTGAGTGAAAAAATCCAATGCTAAAACGTTACATACTGTATGATTCCATTTATATAACATTTTTTAAATGAAATTTTAGAAATGAAGAACAGATTAGTGGTTGTCAATGTTTAGAGACAGGGATAGGGTAGGGCAGGAAGGAGATGAATGTGGTTATAGAAGGGTAACACATATAATCCTGATGGTGATAGAACTGCACTATATCTTAAATGTGGTGGTGGGTACACAAATCTACACGTGAGAAAATTGTATAGAACTAAATACACACAAACACAAATGAGTACATGTAAAAGTAGGGGAGATTAAATAAGATCAGTGGATTGTATCAATGTCAATATCCTAGTTGTGATATTGTACTATAGTTTTACAAGATGTTATCCTTGTGGATGAAGTGTACACATAATCTCTCTGTATTGTTTCTTACAACTGCAGAGTCTACAATTATCTCAAAATAATTTATTTCCCTTGGAATAAACTCCTTTTCTTTGTAGCATGAAAAAAATGTTATGGAGAGCTACATCAGTTTTAGATAATTTGCAACATAAGCAGATACAACCTCAAATATTCTGCGTACAAAAATGTGAGCTAACAAACAGATAAAATTTAGGTGTATTATTCACGCCATGTCTCTATCACTACCTACCTTGAGTAAGTTATTTAATTTGTTTAAGCTTCAATTACCTGATTTATAAAATGAGGATAGTAACAGTTCCAAGCTTATAGAATTCTTGTGTAGATTAAAAAAGTACTGTAAGTAGAGTGCTTACAGTGCCTGACATACAGTGTATGTTCAATAAATAATACCTGTTATTAGTATTATTTTTATGCTACTAACATAATATATGTAATCTTAATCATAATTATTTGTTTGCATTTTGGCATCTCCCAAATGTTTCCTAATGGACCAATTAGATACTATAAATACAAAAATAAATAATACATGCTCCCCACTTTGAAGTAATTCTGTTGAATTTCGGAACAACTAGGGGAGAGTACTGTTCTATCCAACTGCCCCATTTAGTGTGCAGCTATTGATGTTGAGTTTCTTGCTTTCTGGCAAATGATAAATCTGACCAATGATGGGAAGAATCCATTCTTAGAAGAGTTCTGCAGCATACTTTACACTGCTGATGAAGCCAAAACTAAACAATAAATGAACACCCCTCCCCAAACAAGCAAAACAATCTACCACCACCACCATCACAACAACAATAATACTATCAAAAATTTTTGCTGCCTCATCATTGCCTAGAGAAGAGTCTGTAAATCCCTGTGACAGCTTTGAAGGCTCTCCATAATTTGACACAAGTCATTCTTTCTTGATATCTATTACTATAAGCTACACTACCCATCATTCTTTTCCTTTACACCTTCAAGTAACCCTGTACTACCTGCCTTGCAAGAATGTGCCTGGATTTCCTGTCTTTAATTTTTCCACTCTTTGTCCTCTTCCTAGAGAGGTAGTCCACACCTCTTTGCCTATAGAAATCCATTTCATTCTCCAAGATTTAGTTCAAATACTATCTCATCCATATAGTCTTCACCTATATTCCCCAATAGAATGGACCTCTCTTTCTTCCATCCTCTCATAATTCTTTCCTTGGATCTCTATGGCATGTATCATATTTCAGCATTGGTGATATATTTACCTGGAATCTCCCAGAGAGTTAAGCTTTTTGAAGGAGGACATGGTAAGTTCATCCATTTTTATATTCCTCACAGTGCCTCAACAGTATCTTGCACATAAAAAACGCTCACTAAATGTTTCTTGTATTCAATTTATTGAATATAAAATGGCCCAAGTTTGGTGATGATTTTTGTGGACATAAGTGAACTATGAAGTGAGGTTCTGTGCCCCCCCCTTTTTTTCCTGAAGCACATGGAATGATGAAGAGTTTAAAATTTGGATCTAAACTAAAAGATCAATGATTACAAATTCTCCAATTTGAATATAAATAATATCAACAGATTAAGTAAATAGTGACCTCAGGAGAAAACAAATCTATGGACGAATATTCAACCTCTGTATCTGCCAGCCGTTTCTACCCCAGCTTTATTGAGATATAATTGACGTATAACATTGTGTAAGTTTAAGATACACAATGCATTGATTTGATACACTTACATATTGCAATTTGATTACCACCATAGTGTTAGCTAACACCTTCATTATGTCACATAATTACCATGTCTTTTTTGTGGTGAGAACATTTAAGACTTATTCTCTTAGCAAATTTCAAGTATATAATACGGTGTTGTTTTCTATAATTACAATATTGTGCGTTAGATCCCCAGAACTTATTCATTGTTTCACTGAAAGTTTGTATTCTTTGACCAACATCTCACCATTTCCCCCACCCCCAGACCATGGTAACCACCATTTTACTCTGTTTCTATGAGTTTGGCTTCTTTAGATTCCACGTGTAAGTGATATCATACAGTATTTGTCTTTTTCTGTCTGACTTATTCACTTAGCATATCGCCCTCAAGGTCCATTCATGTTGTTGCAAGTGGCAGGATTTCCTTCTTTCTTATAGCTCAATAAAATCCCATCTTCTTTATCACACCTAAAAAGCTTCTGTAGAGCAAAAGAAACAGTCAACAAAATGGAAAGGCAACCCACAGAATGAGATAAAATATATGAGATCTTCTTTTTCCATTCATCTGTTGACAGACACATTATTTCCATAACTTAGCTCTTGTGAATAACACTGCAATAAATGTGGAAGTGCAGATATCTCTTCAATATTCCGTTTTCATTTCCTTTGGATGTATACCCAGAAGTGGGATTGCTGAATCATGTGGTAGTTGTATTTAAAATTTTTTTAGAAACTTCAACACTGTTTTCCATAGTAGCTGTACCAATTTACATTCCCACCAACACTGTACGAGGGTTCCCTTTTCTCTACATCCTCACCAACACTTATCTCTTGTCTTTTTGATGATAGCCATTCTAACATGTGTGAGGTGATGTATCATTGTGGTTTTGATTTGCATTTTCCTGATAATCAGTAATGTTGAACATCTTTTCATTTACCTGTTGGCCATTTGTATGTATTCTTTAGAAAAATGTCTACTCAGCTTCTCTGCCCATTTTTAATTGGATTATTTGGGTGGTTTTTGGTGTTTAGTTGTGTAAGATTTTATATATTTTGGATA